AAACGAACAGAACCTCTATGCCTGAATCATTTTCATTGTTTAGCCATTGTAAAATGATCATTGACTGCACAGATATTGAGGTTGCTGCCCCTGGCTTGATGAGTGAACATAAACTGATCTATTCAACATACCGAGGAATGAACTCATTCAAGACACTGATTGGGGTTGCACCAAAGGCTGTCATTACTTATGTAAGCAAGCTGTTTCCTGGCTCAACATCTGATAAAGCCATTGTTGAAAATCTGGAGTGTTACATCATTTTGAAGCAGGAGATTTGATACTGGCAGATAAGGGGTTTTTAATAACAGATATTCTTCCCCCAGGTGTTTCCGTGAACATTACCCCATTCTTATATAATGGAAAGTTTAATTCAAGTGAAATAAAGCTCACAAAAACAATTGCACGATGCAGAATCCACGTGGAACGAGCAAATGCAAGGCTTAAAGACTTTAAGATCTTAAGCTTTATTCCACCATACCTTCATGCTACTCTGAAACACTTTTAAAACTGTGTGCTGGACTGGTCAACTTGCAAAACTCACTCATCAGAGAAATCAGAGACACTGTAGATTTAACATAATTTTCTTTTAATGTCAAAATGAATAGAACATAAACAAAAATTTGAAATCAACTTGACTAGAATTAATTTTGAGCCTCAACCCTATTTTTGAATAGCATATAAATTACAGACTTAAAAAAGCCCTGGAAAAGTGAACTGAACATTACATACCCATTGCCAAATGAACAACTGTGGTCAGTTCAAAATTTATACAGGCAGATTGTGGATAAATATTCAGTATTTCTTCAGGTGAGAGGCAAAATCAAATGAACATGCCACTAACCACATTTTGGTTACTAAAACTTTACTGAAATACTTTACTAAAATGTTCATTGACTGAGTAAGACTGGCAAGTTAGTTGGATTCTTTCTATACCTCAAACTTGAATGTTGTTGAATGTGATGTTCAGCTCATTTGTCCAGGACTTAACATTCTTTCAAAATGTTTGGTTGCCCTTTACAGTTTGCAATAAAGATTGTCTTATATTCAAAACTGGACGCTGTTTATTTCCATAAAATCAATCATACTAATTAAAACTTAATCATACTGATCAATACATCATACTCAAAAATTGTGTTGGATTGTACTGTGAAATTTTCTTGTTTTATTAACTTTGATGTATACACCATTTGAAAGACAAGCAATTATAATATTTAGACAAAATCTTGTAAAATACAATTACAAAAGATCTTTTGCAAATGCAGGAATCATAATTTTTATGTAAAAGTCCTTCAAAATGAGCAGATTGTCAGCCCATGCAGGATCTTTCTTGATTTGAATAATAAGGGATTGTTTTGTTGTCCAAACAACAAAAAAACAAACTTCCCTGTCAGTCAAGTGTAGCTGGCCTTGAATTTGATGCAAGTAATTGTGTGTTTGCTTCAGTTGATACACACCATCATCAGATTTTTTTATATAAAAGTTTTCTGATCTGATTGCTTCCTCAATGGTGCACTCTCTCTGGCTGTAAGGGCATTTTATTTCGAGCAATGCATTTTCATCAATTAAGCCATCAGGGGAGGCACCCAAAATGCCAGACAATTCAAGCCATAGCCCGGAATCCTCTACCTTTAAATTTGTTTTCTGCTCAAATACTTTCCTTGCCTCATTTTCATTAACGACCCCCCAGTGAATGGCTTTTACTCCAGACAAATCATACTGGCAAAGGACTCGCTTGATGAATGATGGAGTTGCTTTTTTAGCCTTTAGCACACTCCCAAAATTGCTTGCAGTCAGTCTTCCCTTTCGTAAAATATGCCAAGAGGGGTTTTCTCGTTGTTTTATGGTGACTTGATTCACTTTCAACCGCTGTTCTGCAGTGATTTAAAATCTTTTAACAAGATATTCACGCTGGTCATTATGATTAATGAATTCTGATGATACAATGATGTCTTCAACGGGGGTAATTGGGAGTGGAGCTTTTGCTGGTTCGGGAGAGAGAAGCCACAAAGTACCAGTAAAGCTGCCATACTTTTTGAGTTCTTGGTAGAGCCAGGACCTATCATCCAGGGGCGGATCCAGGAAATTTTTTGACCGGTGCTCAGTTTAATGGACCACACCCAACAAATTGACCACGCCCATTTTCGGTGGCGATGTTAAGTAGCGTATTTTTTCCAATGAGCGTCCCTCTCTAATGCACGCCCCCATTTTGAGCAAAATTTCTCTAATCAACAACCACTCTCCAATGAGCGCCCCCCCTAAATATTTTGAAAACATATAGAGACCAGCAAATCTTTACAATAGTAATCAGTTTAAATTTGGAAAATCTTCTGCAACTACTGACAGAATTACATAAAAATATATTTGAGGGTATTAACAGTTTAAATATTCAAGATGCCACACCAGTATTTTTAACAAATCTACTAGGATTTCGACTCGGATGAAATTGAAATCTTGTAATTATTATGCCCATGACAGGTGTGATTGATTTTTCTAAAAACAATCATTGTTTAAATTCCAAAGCTCAATTTTTTATTGGTGGATTTTTATCTTTTTCTCAATAAGCCCTACTCTCTAATGGGGCCAAAAATATGATAGAATACGGTAAACAAGAGTGGCTATGGAAGCAAGGAAAGTATTGTACAAAAAGAGGCAATGTATTTCATGAAAATTTAGAAAATGTTTTACGAAATTCGTTACACTGGTTAAAAGCTATCTTTTGCAGCTTGGAATTGTGTTCTTAAGAAAAAAAAATTTACTTCTCTTTCATTTTATATATTAAGTTGAAAATTTTGTTGATGTTGCAAGAACTTTGACAGGCATTTACACGCCTCTTTGAACTATTCTTCCTTTAGAAAAATCACAAAGGGGGACTGCGATGCCATTTCTCGCGTAAAAAAACAAAGCGAACATCTCAACATTTCAATTAACGCTTTGTCGTAGTATCACAATTACCTCAAAGCAAACAACATTGATTCACGTTTGCGAAACTCAAATCTACTAATAACATGGCTAATAAAACGCAACCTGGCATGTCACCCTATTCCTCAACTGCATGAAGTTATAATATTTATGCATATAATATTTTCTGATGTCTTGCAATTTTTCACAAAGTTTGTATGTTACCACTCACCTGATAGATAGGTATCTTAGGACGTAGCTTTGCTACACTTCCGGAGAAGAGCTGTGAATCAGTGAACGAGTCAGCGCTATTGTCGTCCCAATAAAACACGAAAACTTCCGCAACGCCTCTTCTCTATCATTTCTTTGCTAGGCTTTTCTTTTGCCATAAATATTAAAGCAACGTTTCTGTTCATGCACCCCGTAATATCAACGAGAGTTGCCGCAATCCCAAAAGCCTATGCCACTTGCCAGTTCCCTATCCATCAATTTCCCTGAATCTTTATTGGCTATTTCATCTTGACCGGTGCTCAACGTCATCTGAGCACCGGTGAAAAAGCAAATGATTGGATAATGCTGGATCTGAGCACCGGTGAGAAAAGAGTTGATTGGCTAGCTCCGTTCGTGACAATTCTAATTTACGAACCCACCGGTGCTCGGAATAGCATAGAATAATGTGATTTCATTGGAGGATGATTTTGTCATCCGCCATCTAATTGGTCAGCACTTGCATTCTACCAAAATGTCGTTCCGGTGAATATGCCACGGTTAAACATTAACGCGACAAAAGAAAATTCTTTGGATAAGAGGGTATTTTTCATGCTAAATAGATGAAAACATCGAATCAGTAGAAATCTTTACCTTTTTTTAGAAACGTGCACAGGAACAGGTACAAGAAACAGTACTTTGAAAATCTGACCGGGGCTCAAGCACCCTTTGCACCCCCCTGGATCCGCCACTGCTATCATCATCATTAACCTCTCGTTTAAGACAGTTGTATTCTTTTGGGCATGGATAGAGTTCTTCTACAGATTTTACATCTAGCGGAGCCTTCTGCTTCTTCCATTCGCACTCGACATCTGTTCGACTAAGGTTGTGGATCCCATGGATTATAATTGCAGCGGCATGAGCACACTTGTAACTTCCAAGAGGACATTCACACTCAGATGATATTATTTCATCATTACGGAGGAATACCTAAATTTAAAGAATTTAAATTTGGAATTCTAAGATGAAAAGGGAAGAAGAATGATAAACTTAAAGAATAATCATGAATAATCGTTAGGCCTACTACAAAGTATAATGTTAGGAGCTAGGGTAATAAGATACATTATATTCGCTTACCGTAACTTTATAGGACTTGTTCTTCATACTAGCGTGCACTGATCCTCGAATTACTCCATCAGAATAATAAAAAGATTCAATATGGTCGGATCTGAAGTGATTTTCACCTCGTTGAATTGATTTCGGCTCGTCCGAGAAGCAAGCAGTGAGAGCACTTATCGTAATGGCCGCCATGTTGGTTCAAGCGGACGTTTGTTTAGAACCAGTAAAAAGTGACTCCATGGTAACCTGACGTCACACTTCGGTACTCTATAGTAAAAGTAGAGATTGGCCACTTTTTGGCATTAACAAAGGCGGGGCTAGAGCTACAGCCCTGTTCCTAGCATATTTCTTTTCAAGTAACAGCTAACAGGAAGCTAGGCCACTTCTCTGGATTCTTTCGCACCTCATCTTTAATCGTCACAATTTGAATATTAAATATTTAAAACATTGAAAATTTTGCAAGTAGCCAAGTGTATAAACCGAAGGAGCTGATAATAAGGTTTCCTTGCTTTTCAAAAGACATAGTCCCTTGCGAAAGCAATTATCTCACATATTTAGAATTATGTCAAAAAAATCATTTGAAGCAACTACTGTAGCCAGAGGGGGAAGTTGTCGTCGAAATCGCAGCTACGTGGCAGGTGTCAAGGGTCAGGTTGCTGAGTACGCGATTATTGAATTAATTAAAGAAAATGAAGGCATACTCAGATAGCAATAATGTAAGGGATCTATTATTTCTTAACTTTAAAATATACAATTCTTTCAATTTAAAAAATCTTGATTTGTGAAAAATGCTTAAATACTAAATTTGATCAAAACGGACATTTTTTTATATTCCACTAAAAATTTACAGCTGCATCAAAAAGATTTGCACTATTTAGATAATTTGAAAAAGTTTACAGAATGCAACCTTTCAATTTCATCAGAACTCCAGATTTGATCTTTGAAAAAGCTGATGGCAACGAATAGTTGAATGTTTAGTGAAACGAGAATTGAGCATTGTCGTGTGTGATTCGTTCACTAATAAATCCATCCATCGACTAACGTGTCATTTCCAACCCAGGGAGTCTTATTTTACCTACAGAGAACACGGAGCCAGAGAGAGAGACAGTGTGTTGCTTGATTGTAACTGAACTCTGAACTGAACTTACTTACAAATTAACATACTTATATACAGAAATGAATATCTAAAATTAACACGAATGATGTAAGGAAAACAAAAGATAGGAAGGGCGAGTAAAGGTGATGAGTAAATTGAATAGCTTGGCAAGGATTATGTAAACAATAGGGATTAGAGAATGCGTGAAATGAGAGTGACGTAGAGGATGCCTGTGCTGCGATGTGAGAATGTGGGATAATGATGGAATGAATGAAAAGGAAAAATTGATGTAAACAGGCCTAAATAGAGTCACTAAAAATCAGTCAAGTTTATCTCTATATTGAAGTGAAATCCTGGAAAAGGCCTTAGATGAACTCAAGATTAATATTGGCATTGTTAGTATTGATAGTGTTACAGCAAAGATAATGTCAATGTAGATTCATGCCATTTGGCGAAACGAAACGAAACGAAACGAAACGAAACGAAACGAAACGAAACGAAACGAAACGAAACGAAACGAAACGAAACGAAACGAAACGAAAAATGAAATATTACGAAACAAACGGAACGGATAGAATTTTTGGTTTTGGAATGGTTTTTAAAAGAACAATTTGAAAAAGTGATATTACTGTTCCAAGTTACCGTAAAAGCTCTACTAAGCCCCCTCTCTCTATTAAACCCCTCCCTATCAAGCAAAAACTTTAAACAAGACCCCACTTTAAATAAACACTTTAAATAAGCATTATGAAATACCTCTTAATGAACATTGTCATAACCTGCACTTTGAGGTTAACGCAAGAGAGAAACCCAGGGGCGGATTCAGGGTGTCGCACAGGTCGCACGGAAGACCGTCAGATTTTCAGAATTTAGTTTTAGTCTTCAGTCATTAAAATAAGGCAATCATGTTTACCACAATCTTTTATTTCCCTACTTACAGATAATACATTTACCTCTCTTTACAAAATAAACACAGGACCGAACCTTGGTCGATCTCACACGCAATGCCACAATTTAATTCAAAGACCATCCTAGACCGTAAAAATATGATTTTTAGGCATGTCGCCCGTGCCGCACAAATATGCAGGGCTACGGTGGCCCACAGGTGCCACGGCAAAACTTTCTTTCTCACGGCAAAACTTACTTTCTTACGGCAAAACTTACTTTCTCACGGCAAAACTTACTTTCTCACGGCAAAACTTACTTTCTCACGGCAAAACTTTCTTTTTTCACGGCAAAACTTTATTTCTCACGGCAAAACTTTACTTCTCACGGCAAAACTTTCTTTGAATTTAATTTATTACTTAAATTAAATTTATTTTGAAAATTTTATCTCGTGACATTGGATTCTCGTCGTCGTATTGCTTTGTTCCTTTTGCTTTTCTGACATAGGCGTAGTAGACAAGGGTCTGGGGAGATAAGGGGGCTGTAGCGGCAACTGTAGTTTCTCAACACTGAAAAGTTTCCAAAAAAGCGATAATCAGGCAGAAATCTACCATGATTCAGTCAGGCAAAATTTTCATAAACAATGGATGTTGTTTGTTGGGCAACAACTTCGATTTTTTCTCCCCTTATATTATGCCCATGCTTATTATTTCATTTCTTTATTCATTGTTATTACTATTATTCGAAAAATTAAGTACCTAGCCATCAACCCACCCTGTGAGTAATACGATATGATATGATATTAAACACAATACCCAATTTATAGGTTTTTTACAAGCCACAATCGAGCGTGCCAAGTGCACGTACGTGATATTTTTGCACGAATTTTATGTGCACGCCAATTTTCAACGAATTGATCTTTTTCACTGCTTTCAAAACAAAGGAATCAAAGACCTTGCATGCGGTACTGTTTCGTTGAGATAGGCATATAGGCCTAGCCTAGCCTAACCTAGATAAATTTTAGAACATTTCTGGGCTGTCTTTCTGCAAGAATTATCAAGAGAAGATGTAGGTATTCGTAAATTCTGCGAAGTTTAAAACGTCTAAAGCATTGATTAGATCTAAGTATCACGTACACAACAACACGTGAAGAAAGTTTTGCCGTGAGAAAGAAAGTTTTGCCGTGAGAAAGAAAGTTTTGCCGTGAGAAAGAAAGTTTTGCCGTGAGAAAGAAAGTTTTGCCGTGAGAAAGTAAGTTTTGCCGTGAGAAAGTAAGTTTTGCAGTGAGAAA